TATGGGCAGTTTAGGATTACTGATCAGCGAGGGTACCTAGGCTGCGTACCTTTGCTGATAGAATTAGTTTCCTGCAAGGCTACACAGCATGTCATTTTCAAAGGAAATTTCTGCAACTCTGTCCCATAGATACCCGGGCTTCAAGGCGCCTATCCCTGTCTAGTCACTCATTCAACCAGTTGTCTGCCTCTATTTGTGCAGATCACTGGGCCAGAGGTAATACCAAAAAATAAAACGAGCAATAGAAATATTGTATCCTTTTATTTCTCACAACAGCCCTATCAGGTAGGTGCTATTGTTATTATTTCCATTTTAAAGATGAGGTAGAGCCGTGGTCGGCAAACTGCTGCTCTCAAGCCACATGCGGCTCTTTGGCCCCTTGAGTGTGGCTCTTCCACAAAATACCACGGCCTGGGCGAGTCTATTTTGAAGAAGTGGCGTTAGAAGAAGTTTAAGTTTAAAAAATGTGGTTCTCAAAAGAAATCTCAATCGTTGTCCTGTTGATATTTGGTTCTGTTAACTAATGAGTTTGCTGACCACCGAGTAGAGAGAAGTGAAGTGACTGGTTTGCCGAGGCCACACAGCCAGTATATTGCCGACTGGGGGGGCTTCTGATCCCCAGTTCACCCTCTTAGCATCTCTGTTGTCCCCTCTCTCGGGTGCTTAACCTCAAGGGTTTTAGGGGAGATAGTTACCCAAACAGCTTCCGTTAAAGGGGACCCTGTGACTGCCACACTAAACCCCCTTTTTCCCCAGTGTTAAGTTGGAAGTTTTCCCCGTTGCTTGAAAGCCATAGAAGCACACGGAAAATAAACCAGCAGAGAGCTTTAAAGCGGAGACAGTGTGGTAATTACAGGGGAATACTATCTTTGGTAACAAGTAACAGCTTGCGATAACGTGGTTCAGATATTTAATCTCTGAGTATCTTCCAGGGTCCTTTGTATTGGAGTTAGGCTTAGCGAGAGGGACTGCTCTTGTGCACCGTGCTGTATGCTCACAACTCGAGTCAAGTGGGGTTTTTGGGAGAAATTGACTTCTGAAGGCTTTGGCCCCATTGACATCTGATCAGGGATCTGCTTAACATTAAACTTCCGTTTTCCACGTAGGCAGGGCAGATCTTCTAGCCTCCAGGCCACGAAGAAGGCCTTCAGCTTTAAAATATTGCAGAATCTCATCTCATCTCATCTCATCATAAATAAATTGTCTAGAGTCTAACAAAGGAGCTTTCCTATGCTTTATTTATTTACTTATTTATTTGTTAAAATATATTTTTATTGATTTTAGAGAGGAAGGGTGAGGAGAGAGAGGTAGAAACTTCAACGATGAGAATTATTGCTCAGCTGCCTCGTGCACGCCCCCTGCTGGGGATTGAGCCAGAACCCCCGCCTGTGCCCTTGACCGGAATAGAACTGAGGACCCTTCAGTCCGCAGGCCAACGCTCTATCCATTGAGCCAAACCGGCAAGGGCTCCTTTCATAGAGGAGCAGACTGAGGCACAGAATCAGGACAAACAGTGAGTGAGTGGCAGACGTAGGCTCTATGATTGCTAGCTTTGTGTTTTCGTAGATGGGGTCTGGGCAACTTTGTCAGCCCCCAAAGGAAGAGTTTGTTGGGGGTTAGGGTGACCCAATAAGGCAGTGGTTCTCAACCTTCCTAACGCTGCGACCCTTTAATACAGCTCCTCATGTTGTGGTGACCCCCAACCATAAAATTATTTTCATTGCTACCTCATAACTGTAATTTTGCTACTGTTATGAATCTAATGTTATTGGCTGTTATTGAACTAGGCTTTGGGGGTTATCTCCGTAGTAGATCCCCAGGGGTTCATGGAAAGCCCCCTTCATCCCCAGGATGTCCAATGCCCTCCCCATCCTTCTCTTTTCCTTTAAAACTGGCAAGAAGCAGAGGACCTGGAACTCATCAGTCAAGCTCAGCTGATTCCACTAACTGTCCGTGGACTCTATGCACCATCACATGGGCCCCCAGTGCCCAGCACCCAGTTTTCCGATGGTCTTAGGCGACCCCTGTGAAAGGGTCGTTCAACCCCCAAAGGGGTCTTGACCCACAGGTTGAGAACCGCTGCAATAAGGGAAGGTTAGGGGAGAGGACTAGAAAATCTCCCTTTAGACAAGAAGTATCTTTTATATACCTTTGTTTCTCCCTTGGTTCTTGGCATGGATTCAGAGAATGTTTCCAATGAATGAGTGTTTTGAATCATTTGCTCTTCCGTTCTCAGCCGTGAATGACACCAGAAGTGACCTATGAGTGAGTGAGGAGAGTAATTATGGGACTCAGGAATGCTTTAGGACTGGAATGAAATGACATAATGTGGAAACACTTTGAAAATATAAAACCTATTAAAATGCGAAGGTTTTTTCTTGTGCATTTTTGACTGCATGTCTGAACACATCTTGCATGCTCCCTCTGCTTTAACTTTTTGCTCACATTACTCTCTCCCATCTCGATCGCCTTTCCCTTCCTTTAAAATAAATTATTGATTTTTAGAGAAAGATATTTTCTTTTTAAATTAAATCTTTATTGTTGAAAGTATTACATATGTCCTCCTTCCCCCCATTGACCCTTTCTAGCCCACTCCCACCACCTGCCCGCCCAGCCCAGGCCTTCACCACCCTATTGTTTGTGTCCAGTCCTCGGAGCAGACAGCTCTCCGAGGATGGAGAAAGGCAGAGCATGGGTTATGCATATATGCATACAAGTTCTTTGATCTCTTCCCACTAGAGAGAGAGATTTTATTTATTGGTTTCATTTATTGATTTTATTGTTCTACTCATTAATGCATTCACTGGTTGACTCTTGACTATGTCCCAACTGGGAATCGAACCTGCAGCCTTGGTGTTTCGGGATGACACCCTAACCAACTGACTGATCTGGCCGGGGTTTTTCCCTTCTCCTTTTTGCACCCTGTTGGAAGACATGATTTCCTTTGATCCCCCCGAGAACTTTGGACTTGTGTTACTCTGCTTGAGAGTGTTATTACTTGTTGATTTTTCTTATCTCTGAGCATATATGACCTATTCCAGTTGATTCTTCAGATGCTCCTAATGGCTGTGCCTCTGAGGCTCAGCCTTCAGTACATGGTTGTTGATTGAAAGTTCATTTTAAGGATCAGCACCACTTGGATGGAGGAGTTCCATTCTCAGTGTTGCAAGAAGATGCTTCTGGGAGTTGTGGCAGAGTTCTAGAAACCCCTCCTCCCCCTTCCTCTGGAGATGGGAGGGATGTTTATGGGATTTGCTGGGACTGGGTGCTGGGCACAGGGGGCCCATGTGACGGTGCAGAGAGTGCACAGACAGTTAGTGGAATCAGCTGAGCTTGACTGATCGAGTTCCAGGTCCTCTGCTTCTTGCCAGTTTTAAAGGAAAAGAGAAGGATGGGGAGGGCACTGGACATCCTGGGGACTTTCCATGAACTCCTGGGGATCTGCCCCCGAGGCCTAGTTCAATAACAGCCAAGGTCAATGGCATGGCCCTCAGCCTGGTTAGAGCTGGCAAAAAGTGACCACTTGTGAGGATCACCGACAGAAGAGCTCTGATTACACCCTAATCTCCAAGCACACACCGGAATTTCTCTCTTTTTTATTGGAGTATTATCCCACACATGTTTAATTTTCTTGAGACGTGCACCTGGCAGCTATGAATCTTGCATTCATCCAGTCTCAGTTCGAGGGCTCGCACAGGATGAGCATCCTGCCTCACTGAGTGGAATGGCGTGTTTGCTGTGCAATGTGGCATCTAAACAAATGACTGCTGCCCAGCTAGCGTGGCTCAGTGGTTGAGCATTGACCTATGAACCAGGTGGTCAAGGCACATGCCTGGGGTTGTGGGCTTGATCCTGAATGTGGGGCACATAGGAGGCAGCTGATCAATGATTTTCTCTCATCATTGATGTTTTCTTTTTTCAAAAAAAATTTAAAATATATATTTTATTGATTTTTTACAGAGAGGAAGGAGGAGGGATAGAGAGTTAAAAATGTCATTGAGAGAGAAACATCAATCAGCTGCCTCCTGCACACCTCTTACTGGGGTTGTGCCCGCAACCAAAGTATATGCCCTTGACCGGAATCGAACCTGAAATCTTTCAGTCTGCAGGCCAATGCTCTATCCACTGAGCCAAACCATTTAAGGCACATCATTGCTGTTTTTATCTCTCTCCTGTTCCCTTCCTCTCTGAAATCAATAAAATATATTTTAAAAAATAAAATAAACAAGATACTACTGCACCACATAGTATTTTAGATATTATAAGGGAAATTCAAGAGTAACTTTGAATATACACATTTTTTTGCTGGACATGCAGACTTAGAAATAACTTTCAGGTAAGCGGGGACTGGGCTCTATGGCAATTTTGAAAAAAAACTTTCCAGCTACATTAAGGATCAATTACACGTATGTGATCTAAGCTCTGCATCAAGGAGTGAGTTTATAACAATTTAAGTGGGAAAATGGATTTCAGCCCTTCAATGCCTGCATTGGGAACACACCTTTGAAGCACCTTCCATTAGTAAAAGACTTGGCGAACAAATTCATTCTAGGTGCCCACACAGAACTGTATTATTCCAAGCGCTTTGGATTAGTCTGTTTTTAATGTGTGTTTAAAAAAAAAAAAAATATATATATATATATATATATATATATATATATATATTATTGATTTTTTACAGAGAGGAAGGGAGAGAGCTAGAGAGCTAGAAACATCGATGAGAGAGAAACATCGACCAGCTGCCTCCTGCATACCCCCCACTGGGGATGTGCCCGCAACCAAAGTACATGCCCCTGACCGGAATCGAACCTGGGACCTTTCAGTCCGCAGACTGACGCTCTAACACTGAGCCAAACTGGTTTCGGCTAATGTGTGTTTTTTTTTATGTTCAAAAAACCAAGTATGTTTTTCTCAGTTCATTAATATTTTATTCTCTTTTCTCTTAGTGATTTACCTTCAAGAAAACTGGGGGACTCAGCAAGTTGGGGACCGCTGAGAACATGGCCAACCTCCTGAAAACAGTGGTGACCGGCTGCTCGTGCCCTCTCCTCAGCAGTCTGGGCTCCTGTAAGGCTGTGCCCGGGAAGAAGGAGTTTTTACGAACCTTTCACACGCAGCAGGCGCTGTGGTGTAAATCCCCTGCCAAACCAGGTACAGTCTCACTTCCGCGTGTGTGACAAGCCTCCCAGGCCTCGGAGCAGATAGCTCTCTGAGGGTGGAGAAAGGCAGAGCATGCTGCTTCCAGCCTGGAGCTGTGGACCGTCAATTTGCATAAAAAGAGCTAATGAGCCCTTTTCCTAGGAGAAGTTCCAGATTGTCAGTACTAATGGAGGAGGAGAAAAGGTAATAAATAGAGAAAGAAAAAGGGCAAACCGGAGGAATTGAGCCCTGGGAAGTACTGTTCCCAGTAATCACTTCTCCTAACAGCTCTTTCCCTGTCCTGGTCAGTATTTATTTATTTATTTTTAAAAATATATTTTATTGATTTTTCTCAGAGAGGAAGGGAGTGGGATAGAAACATCAATGAGAGAGAATCATCGATCAGCTGCCTCCTACACATCCCCCCCCCCCCCCACTGGGGATGTGCCCACAACCAAGATATATGCCCTTGACCGGAATCGAACCTGGGACCTTTCAGTCCTCAGACCGACGCTCTATCCACTGAGCCAAACTGATTTCGGCTCCCGGTCAGTATTGGAGAATTGTGCCATATGAGGCACATCTGTGCCCACGAATTAGGAACTAAATGCATTGCTTCACCTGCAGCAGTGTTTCTCCGCTGAGTAAGCGGCAGCGTTGGCTCAGTTGCTCGGTTAGAAACCTTGGAGTCGCCCGAGGTGCAGGTCAGCCCTGCCTTGTATGGAGAATCTGTCCTCTCCTCCCCGCCACCGCTGCTGCCACTCCGGTCCAAGCCACCATCAGCTGTCACCTGTCTTCTAGATGACCTCTGTGCTTTCTGCCTCTGTCCCCCGCAGTCTGTTCCGTGTATGACAGCGACCGCACTTTTTAAAAATGAAAACACATCCCTCTTCTACTCAAAATTTGCCTCTAGCTTTCTAGCTCATTCAGGGTAAGAGCAGAAGCTTTTTTGTGCTCTCCACAGCTCCCCTTCTGTTCAGGGGGGCAGGCCAGGAGGATGACAGGTCAAAAGTGGGGGGGGCCTTCCTCACGGAGTCAGATAGGTCCCTGTAAGCACCGTCCCCAAAGGCCTTCCCAGCTCTGGCTGCTCCTCACCGGCCAGATCACAGACCAGTGGCCATAGGCACTGCCAGGGAGACGTGGGCACTTCATCTTGCCATCCCAGATGGCAGCGTTCTCAACCAAAAATGGCATCTGTCTCTAAGCTGGAGGGCCAGGATGGGCCTCCGGGGGGCACCCAGAGGTCTTTGCCAGGCGGAAGGACACCCTCTGCGGGGTAAGTCTGTAGGACTGCCGTGGCACGTTGACCCCTAACCTCCGGGGCTTTGGGGATTCTCACGTCTGCTGGAGTGGATTTCGCAGCCTTCCCGTGTTCTCCCACGGCGACTCCTGTTGGCAGGGTACCCACCCCTGGGAGTCCTCCACTTTGGCTTCAGATTTTAAAGCTGTTTCCTAGAAAGCCAGGTTATCTGGTGTGACACAGTCATGGCTAAAGGAAAGGAAATAACCTCCTAAAAGCCAGGTTACCCGGTGTGACTCAGTCATGGGTAAAGGAAAAGGAAATAACTGCACTGTGGGCCGGACAGTGGTCCTTGTGAGTAAACGCACAGGCACCCACAGCTCTGTATTCATGATGTGTAAGACTTTGTTTATTTTTTATTTCTGATTCTGGACTATTTCCTGGGGCAATTCCTTTTGATCTTAAAAGATAAGGATTTTGCCCAAGCCGGTGTGACTCAGTGGATAGAGCATCAGCCTGTGGATTGAAGGGTTCCGGTTTCAATTCTAGTCAAGGGCACATGCCCGGGTCGCCAACTTGATCCCCAGTTAGGGGCCTGCAGGAGGCAGCCGATCAGTGATTCTCTCATCATTGATGTTTCAGTCTCTCTCTCCCTCTCTCTTCTTCTTTGAAATCAATTAAAAAAATTATATATATGTGTGTTTTATTATATATATATATATGTAAAATATGTATGTATATATATATATATATATATATATATATATATATATATATATACAGCCCTAACCGGCTTGGCTCAGTGGATGGAATGTCAGCCTGCCTACTGAAAGGTCCCCAGTTCAATTTCGGTCAAGGGCATGTACCTTGGTTGCGGGCACATCCCCAGTAGGGGTTGTGCAAGAGGCAGCTAATTGATATGTTTCTCTCTCATCGATGTTTCTAACTCTCTATCCCTCTCCCTTCCTCTCTGTAAAAAGTCAATAAAATATATTAAAAATATAAATAAAATACAAGGATTTTATTTTTCCATAATAAGGCCACAATTTTATAATCACATTGAAAAGCATGAAAAGTCATTCCAGTCACCATATTTTCTCAAAATTTTCACTTAAAAAAAATTTTTTTTTTCTTTTTTTACAGGTGCTTTGTTCAAATAATGAGCCAGACAAGGTCCATATGTTGTATTTCACTTCCTTGTTGTTAGGTCTCTCTCTTTTTAAAAAAAATATATTTTTATTGACTTTTTGCAGAGAGAAAGGGAGAGAGATAGAGAGCTAGAAACGTCAATGAGCGAGAAACATCGACCAGCTGCTTCTTGCACGTCTAGTAGGGGATGTGCCCGCAACCAACGTATATGCCCCTGACCGGAATCGAACCTGGGACCTTTCAGTCCTCAGACCGACGCTCTACCACTGAGCCAAACCGGTTTTGGCTGTTAGGTCTCTTTTAATCTATAGTTCCCTTCCTCTCTTTCTTTTTTGGATTTTTTTTTCTTTATTGATTAAAGTATTACATATGTGTCAATGCTTAACCACTGACTCAAGCCAGTCAGGTTATTTCTCTTTTTTTTTTTGAAAATCTTATTTATTGATATATATAGAGAGAGGAAGGGAGACAGAGAGAGAAATATCGATTTGTTGTTCCACCCATTCATGCTTTCTTTGGTTGATTCTTGAATGTGTCTGGACGGGATCAAACCCACAATCTTGGCACATGGAGATGATGCTCTAACCATCTGGACTATCTGGCTAGAGCCTATCATTTTACTTTTGTTTATTAGTTAGAATTAATTTGAAGAGTGGAGTTAGCATGTTGAGTGGTCTAAACTAGTCATGTGTCTTGAAGAGAGCCATTTGGTTAAATAAGATATCCAGAGTTTTCAGGAGAGTGAGCATAAAAACTTACCTATCAAAAAAAACAAACAAAAAAAAAAACCCAAAAAGGTCAAAGAGTCAAGATTCTGAATCAGGAACATCATTTTGAACAGTGACTTGTAGGTACAGTCTACTTTGAACACCTTGCCCATATCCATTTTCTGAACTCTGTTATTGAAACATTGCTTACCAGATGTTCCTTTCTTAATTTTTTATTTATTTCATCTTTGTCTAGGAATTCCATACAAGCAGCTGACTGTTGGAATCCCCAAGGAAATTTTCCAAAATGAGAAGCGAGTGGCACTGTCTCCTGCAGGCGTTCAGGCCTTGGTCAAGCAGGGTTTCAATGTTGTGGTGGAATCGGGTGCTGGTGAAGCGTCCAAATTCTCAGACGATCACTACCGAGCAGCAGGTGCCCAGATCCAGGGGACAAAGGAAGTGCTGGCCTCGGACTTGGTGGTCAAAGTAATTATCTCCCCCACCCCCCTGTTATGGCATGGGGACTTTCCAGACTCTTTGCATGGAAATATTAACCGTCTCTGTCCATGGTTAGAGCTTTTCACATTTCAAACAATGCCTTTTTTCTCAAGAAATGATTGCATGTTGTGAATATTCATGTTCAGGCCTTGTGCTCTATATTTAACCATGAAAAGAGAAAAAACGATCCTCCATTGTACACTGGCTGTGTGGAAGTCCCCTTTTAACTGGCGAGGGACATTTGCACCCCAGGGGTCATACATGTCCCAAATGTGCACAGGTGAGCACCCAACAGCTGCTGAAATAGAAGGGAGTCATGGAGCTCCTCCTGGGACTGAATGTGCAGCGATCTTGGGAAGGAGCCAGGTTTTAGCTGCCGTCAGTGCTATTTTTAGGAAGGGCAGGATTGTCCTGGAGAAAGCAGCAGCGGGCCCAATGATGAGTAGCCCTTCTACTTTATTAAAAAAGCTCTCAGATGTAGTAGAAATCGATTGAACTGGAGCAGTAAATCTCATATATGGAAAGGCAGAGAGGCTGTGTTATGAGTGTATCAGGGATAATTATTAGAGTTGAACATTAACTTAAATTCCTAAGCCTGCAACCAAGGCAGGTAGGGAAGTATGGATTCTATGAGCATGATTATTAGGTTAAAATAAACTCCTCACTTTCAAGATCAGTTTTTTTTTTTGTTAATTTCTCAGGAATACACACACACACACACACACACACACACACTTTTTTTTTTTTTTTTTTAAACAAAAACTTCACTCTCTTGATAGGGTCTTAAGTAGTGGTTCTTGCAGAAGACACAAAAACTGTTTTGTTTTTCATAGAAAATGAGAAGTAAAATACATGACATGGAGACAAATTGTAATTTAGCTAAAGCTTCTGTAGGTGTGCAGATATTTGGTGATATAACTTGGTAGAGTTAAGAAGCTTAGGAAAGATAGAAAACTCACGGTAACGTTTTGCGATGTCTCACACAAAAGGCTCCGTGTGACGCACGTGCGTCGTGGTAATGCTCTGTTTTCCTTTTAGGGATTTGCAATGTGTGAGCATGCGGAAGGCACTGGGGATCCTGTGATATGGAAACACTATCCTTGCACTAATAAACGGCTTGATCCGGGGCCTTCTCTTTCCATCAAGCTTGCTAATGTCCCGAGAAACCAGTGGTCTGAAAGCACATTCAAGGGAAAATTCCATTGGCTTCACTCCAATGCCGGCAGTCTCAGCCCAGCATTTGATAGGGGCCGGTAGAATCAATGTAAAATTGTCCCCTAATTTTTATTAAATCTGTATTATAGACAAGAGGCCTGGTGCACAAAATTCATGCACTGGGGGTGGGAGGGGGGGTGGAGTGTCCCTCAGCCCAACCTGCACCCTTTCCAATCTGGGATCTCTGTGGGATCAGGCCTAAACCGGAAGTTGGACATTCCTCTCACAATCTGGGACCACTGGCTCCCAACCACTCATCTGCCTGCCTGCCTGCCCCTTGATTGCCCCTAACCATCTCTGCCTACTGGCCTGATCACCGCTTAACTGCTCCCCTGCTGTCCTGATTGCCCCCAACTGCCCTCCCCTTCCAGCCCGATCTCGCCCCTAACTGCTTGTTCCTCCTTGCCAGCCTTAACACACCCCTAACTGCTTGTTCTCCCTCTCTGGCCTGATCACATCCCTAACTGCTTGCTCTCTTGCCAGCCTGATCACCCCTAACCGCCTCTGCCTTGGCTCCCACCACCATGGCTTTGTCTGGAAGGAAGTCGGACATCCAGAAGATGTCTGGTCAATCTGGTCTAATTAGCATATTACCCTTTTATTAGTACAGATTCTCATTGAGGAGAGATAGATCTTGTCAGATTGTCTTAATTAAAGACCAGAACCTGAAATCATATGCATCCAAGATCAACAACGGAAATGAGAATAACAGACAAAGAGGTCTCATAGGTCAATTGAGACAAAATGCTGTGAAATGAAAATATTGACGCAGTATTGGTGGGTGTATTTCCTTTAACACTTACTCCCAGCGCTGTTTTCTCTATGCTTACTTGCCTAAAAACACTACTGTGGACTGGGAGCTAAACATTCATTGAAGATTGATTTTGAACTTGGATATAAAACACATTTCAAAACACTTGTAAAATGGAATTTAAAACGTGGACATTTGGAACCTTCAGGCACGGTGGAGTGTGGGCATTCATTGATGGATTTGATACTTCTTCACAGAAAAGACTTTATTGTAGCTTTTTGCTTCAACCCAATTCAGCAAGGCTACTGCTTTGCCTTCACCTATAAATATTCACCTGCAAATTTTTAAATATATATATTTTATTGATTTTTTTTACAGAGAGGAAGGAAGAGGGATAGAGAGCTAGAAACATCAATGAGAGAGAAACATCGACCATCTGCTTCCTGCACACCCCCCACCGGGGATGTGCCGTTAGCTAATATACATGCCCTTGACCGGAATCGAACCTGGGACCTTTCAGTCTGCAGACCGACGCTCTATCCACTGAGCCAAACCTGTTTCAGCTTCACCTGCAATTTTAAGGCAACATAAATCTATCCGTACAGCACGAGATTTTAGTTTATAATGTTCTTAACTTCTCAACACCCCACAAGTTTGTGTTTTTCAAAATCTGCAAGAATTGCATCTTTGAATACACAGCGTAAACTTCCTGTTTATTCCAATGTCTCTTTAAAAAAAAAAAAATATATATATATGTATATATATATATATATATATATATAATTGATGTTTTTACAGAGTGGAAGCGAGAGGGATAGAGAGCTAGAAACATCAGTGGGAGAGAAACATTGATCAGCAGCCTCATGCACACTCCCTACCGAGGATGTGCCTGCAGCCAAGGTACATGCCCTTGACCGGAATCGAACCTGGGACCCTTCAGTCCGCAGACGGATGCTCTACCCACTGAGCCAAACCGGTGTGGGCCAGTGTGTCTTAATTGTGTCAGAGTGACCTGCGTAGTTCGCCACTGCTCCATAGCTCGTTGTCAAACCTGCCGAGGCACTGTTTTTAGTCGCATGCGCTCTTTCCTCAGTCCAGGGTAGATGTCACAGGTCTCCGTGTGCCTTACCAAGCGCAGGGATGCAGCCAGACATTTATTGCTGAAAGATCACTCCTGGAGTATTCCTGGCACGCTATTTAAATCGTCTTCTTTACTTCAAAGTCTGATCAAGGTATCTGCCTTTGTAATCGGTGATTTGGCTCTTTTCTCAGGTGCGGGCCCCCATGCTTAATCCAACGTTAGATATTCACGAAGCCGACCTTTTAAAGTCTTCGGGAACACTGATTAGCTTCATTTATCCAGCCCAGAACCCAGACTTGCTAGATAAACTTTCCAAAAGGAAAACGACCGTTCTGGCGATGGACCAGGTTCCAAGAGTCACGATTGCTCAGGGGTATGACGCGCTGAGCTCCATGGCCAACATCGCTGGGTAGGTTCCCTCCTGTTTTGTTTGGACAGCAGAATGGTGGACATTACAGAACGTGCTCACTGTAGTAGCTCCTCTCTCCTCGGGGGATTGTACGCGGGATTGGTGGAGAGTGCAGCCTTTGAGAGTGTACTGCAGTTATTTTTAAGACTTTTGAAATAAGTATATATCTTTAATTGATTTCAGAGAGGGAGGGAGAGGGGGAGGAGAGAGAGAGAGAAACATCAAGGATGAGAGAAGATTATCAATGGGCTGCCTCCTGCACGCCCCACACTGGGGATGGAGCCCGAAATCTGGGCACATGCCCTGACTGGGAGTCAAACCGGGACCTCCTGGTTCATAAGTTGATGTTGAACTGCTGAGCCACGCTGGCTGTACAAGACTCTTTTTATTGTTTCCCTGTCACCAGGTAGGAAATGGCTCTTCACACTGTACTCTGTTGTACTCTCCTTTGTCATCTTCCCGGGTAGTAGGCAAGTAGTATTTTCTTCTTTAAAAAAATATATTTTATTGATTTTTTTACAGAGAGGAAAGGAGAGGGATAGAGAGTTAGACACATCGATGAGTGAGAGAGAAACATCAGTCAGCTGCCTTCTGCACATCCCCTATTGGGGATGTGCCCACAGCCAAGGTACATGCCCCTGACCAGAATCGAACCTGGGGCCCTTGAGTCCGCAGGCTGACACTTAAACCGGCTAGGGCCAAGTATTATAGTATTTTCTTGCAGCAAGGGAAATGACTGTCAGATTATTTGTATGAATAATTTACTGTATTTCATATATGTGTGTAGACATGCATATATTAGGTTGAAATTACTGTGTCCCCCCCCCCCCCCCCAGCTTTCCTGAGCTGTAATTGTCACATAACATTGGATAAGTTTAAGGTATAAACATAATGACTTGATACATATATATACTGTGAAATGATTACCACAATCAGCTTAGTTAACATCAATTGCTGTTTTATAGTAAAAAATGGTTGGATGTTGACAGTTTCATGCTTCAGTCTAATATAGCAGAATCACATTAGCAGATTCACCATTTTAATTAGGTTTTACTTCCATAAATTCATGAAATATTGAATGAGTAGGAAAAATGTCTGCACTTGCAGACATCTGGTGTCAAAACCTGTGTTGCTAACTGAAGGCTAGCTGTGTCCTCTAACCTCTGAGGCCAAGAGGGCAGTGAACTTCCCCTGCCGGAGCCTGATGCGTGTGCCTGCTGCCCGCAGTGCTGTGTGAGGATCCCAGGGCCGCTCTGCCCAGAGGACTGGCTGGCTGCGCAGTCCGCCTGCCCCGGGGGAGGGACAGGAATAGCTTCCCGAGGGCGTTGTGTTGCTTCCTTGGCTGGAGAGGGTGAAAAGTCTGGAAATCAGATGCTGCTTATGGAATCAGCTCAGCTAAGAAACGAGCTCAATTAGATTGTAAGCATGAAAACTATTAGTAGTGACAATTTGCTAGTATGAATGAGGCACCCACAAGTGAAAATGTTTAAAAAAGAACAAGCAGTGCTTAAAAAAATAAAATAAAGACTAACCTGAATAAATTCTGACCGATGAGCTGAAAGCCTTCTTAGGTTTTATATCTTAGGTGTAGCGTATCAGATATGCCACAGATTCTGCTTTGAGTTCCGGCCATTCACTGTGGCTGTAAAAAAGACACAATAGACAAAATGACAAGGTAAAAACACGTTTTGTTGTCCTTCATGTAATATGGCAAGTGATTGGTTTAAAGACATTTTTGTGTGTGATATACATGATATACCAAGGAGCACAATACATTTTTGTTATATTTATTTAGTTTGCAGAAGAGTTATGTTATGCAATGAGGCAATGAGGGACTTAAACTTTTTTAGAAAATGTGCAATGTAAACTTTAAAAAAAATGTTTTTATTGCCTTTTTTTTTTTTTTTTAGAGAGAGAGAGAGAGAGAGAGAGGAAGGGAAAAAAGAGAGAGGAAGGGAGAGGGATGGTGAGATAGAAACATCAATGAGAGAGGGACATCATCAATCGGCTGCCTCCTGCACGCTCCCTACTGGGGATCAAGCCCACAACCTGGGCATGTGCCCTTGACTGGGAATCGAACTGATGACCTCTTGGTTTCTGGATTGACCTCAACCACTGAGCCACACTAACCAGGCTACAATGTAAACTTTTAAGGGTGCAGTTGACTTTGTCATGTGAAACGTACATTTGAGAGAGGTCTTTATCAAAACCGGTAGCTTTAGATCAGTGGATTTTAGCTGCAGAATCTTTTGAGCAAATGGAATATTATGAGTCAACAGAAGCAACTGCACTAAGAGCAGAGTGGCCTGAGATGAATTGAGGGATGATGGGGGTCCAGAACATGTCTGTTCTCCATCCCACTCACTGTGGCCCAGAGCTGGCTGCAATGTAAACCTATGGGGACCCATGGAACACAATTTAAAGAAAAACTACTTATGTCCTGAGTTGATATATGCAAAGGGTATAGTTTGAGATGAATCATCTATAATAGTATACTTATACAACATGTGGTATAAGTCATTTTCTGTCTAAATCACATATAGTACATACACACACACACACACACACACCACTCACGGCTACTTTACATTGAAGACACGTTTCAGTTCACTGATGTTCATTCTGAGTTTTATTATTCTCATCAAAAACAGGCCCACTTTTAACATTTTTTTTCTACCATCAACACTTTCTTGTACATTTCCTGTGTAATCAGCTTTATTTTTGTTATTTTTCCCAGTATAGCAACTGAATCTTTTAAAATATTAATTCCAAAATTAAATTCTTGCAGTGGCCTTTGAATTGCTATCATGTTTGCTCTTTGGAAATTTCTATCATTGGACCCAGAAATAGATGAACACATCCTGTAATCTCTAAAATATTATTTCCTGCTTTTAATATAATTTATCTTAAAATAGTGCATGCTTTTGCACCAATTATTATGTCAAATATTTTATAAAGATATTATTAAGGAAAGGTTTTATTGTCAGCTAGTGGGTGGCGTTTATCATTACATAGTTGTACAGGAGTAAGATAGAGTGTTTATTACCGAGTGAGAATGTGCAAAAGTGTAAAATGACATGAAAATTAAATTGATGTTATGTGATAAAAATACCCTATGAAATAAAAGATGGTATAATTTACTAGTTCTTGTTGCATAGAGTATTTCTTTAGCTAAAAACCCTTGTAGTTAGCAAGCATTTACTGTGATAGGCAGCAGGTAAGTGCTTGGCCTGCATTATCTCATTTAGTCTTCATGATAACACTAAGAGATGCTGTTTTTTATTTTGTTTTATTTTTGTCCCCGCTTTATACATGGGGAAACCAAGGATTAGTGAATTCAAGAAGGTTGCCCAAGGTCACAGAGCATGTCGGCGGTAAAACTGGACTTGAGTTGAGGTCACTGTCGCAAAATCCCACGCTTTCCACCCGGGAGATCGGGAGAAGTGTGTTTTGTTGTTGTTGTTGTCCTGAGGCTGGAATTGGAATTTTATTATGTACAAACACATTGCTAATCTAATGTTTTAATTTTAAAGTTTTCCCTCCGTTCTTATACCTGCTAGGTAGTCACCAAAGAAACTGTGGACAATCTAATAAAGTAAAACAAAAAGTTTGAAATACCTGTCGTCTCAGCACCCAAAGAAAACCATTGGGAGTGGTTTCTTGTCTTTCCTTCATGTCTCATTTATCACAACAGGCTTTCTCCAGTGTCTGTGAGAGAGAGGCCTGGGAGCGTCCTGGATTGGCATATGCCTCCTGGGCAGGTCGCTGGGTCACACTTCTGGCTCTGCCGGTTACTAGCTGAGGGACCTTGGGCAAATCTCTCCCTCTTTTTAAAAAGTATTTTGATTTATTTCAGAGAGGAAGGGAGAGGGAGAGAGACAGAGACGTCCATGATGAGAGAATCATTAATCAGCTGCCTCCTGCATGCCCCCACTGGGGACTGTGCCTGAAATCTGGGCACGTGCCCTTGACCAAATGAAACCTGGGACCCTTCAGTCCGCAGGCCAATGCTCTATCTACTGAGCCAAACCGGCCGAGGGCTTGGGCCAGTCTCTTCATCTCTGAGTGCCAGTCTATTCACCTGTGCAGTGAAGAGAATAATTGTACCTATCCATATGACGTCATGAATGTCAAAGGTGTACGTATCTATGTGTATATTCTTGGAACTGTTTTTGACACATATAGCAGGTGCCATATAAAATGTTCTCTGTCCTCTAATGATTAGCATGTAATTGGTGACTGACGATGCTCTATGAGCCTCACGCCTTTCATTTGATGGAATTGCTCATTTTATGGAATTACTCATGCATTTGTTTCTCTTTTTAAGTTACAAGGCCGTGGTCCTCGCAGCAAATCACTTTGGACGGTTTTTCACTGGCCAGATCACGGCTGCCGGCAAGGTCCCTCCAGCTAAGGTAGAGAAAGCGTTTGCTGTTTCTTCATCCTGTGAGTCAATGAAAGGCGGGGGTATGTGTGTATTAGAAAGACAGCCGTTGCCCCGTGTTTGTTGCGTGTTAACTTCTCACGGCTGACTTGTGGCATGTGCAGATGGATGGCGGAGCCTCCAAGCACTTGAGATTGCTCGAGAAAAAGCATGTTGATGTTTCCAGATATTCTCGTGAGTCCTCTTTCTGCTTTTGATGCACTAAACTTGCATTCTAAAAGGGATTTTTGTGGAGTCTAGTTAATCCTACTTTCAAAAACAGTTTCAGGATACCATTCAGCCAATTCTTTTTCCCCCCTGCGCCCCCAGAAAATTCTCGATTTCCCAATGATTGCGAGATTTTTGGTTCATTGAAAACATTGCCTTGGTTTCCTCACTTTTTGTTGAATGTTGGGTCATGAGGACTGGAAATGGGAGGAGGTATAGCCGGGATATTTGGCAGGGGCACGGGTACACTTTCTTTCATCGAGACTGAGAGCAGAGGAGAGGGGTGAGAGGTGGGCATGGCTAGGGGAAAGAGTGGGTTCCGTGTGGCCCCTCAATACTGCATACGCTACCTGGCAGTATAAGCAGGTTGGCAAGGTACAGGAAACAGGACTTGACCTGTTGTCAGCCACCTGTAGTGTACCTGTCTGTAAGGTGCTTCCTGCTTTTAAAGTACTTTGTCATTATAAACCCAAAGTTCTCACACAAAGTAAAACACCTAGAAAAATGAACACACACACACACACACACACACACACACACACACACACAAAACCACACCACAAAACAACACAAAACAAAAAAAAACACAACAAAACCCCCAATATCAGCTTTGAGAAATCTAGTTAATTGCTTTAAACAGGCGGGAGGAGAGGAGGACAAGTGTTCAGGCAGAGAGAAAGAATACATTCCTTCTCTAAGATAGCATCGCTTTATTCTAGTGCCATTCCATCTTTTAAATTCGAGTCTTTTGTTATTTCCGATTGAGCTGACTCGGCCTCCTCCTGTGATTTTCACTGATTTTATTTCATGTCATTGTAGTAGCAGTGTGTGTGTGTGTGTGTGTGGGGGGGGGGGTGTCCTTGGAGCCCAGAGCCTGTTTTGTTTGTTCCCTCCCGTCCCCCTCTGTCACCTTTTCTGTAGAGTCCCCCCTTTCCCCCACCCCCCCCCCCAAACTGGAGCACAGTTGACTAGTATAACCTTAAAGAGGGGGAAGGAAGAGTGGGCATGATGGGGGGTAGGAACTTACAAACTTCAGTTTCTGTGTGTGGCTTCTCCCTTCTCCTTTCCTCCCTCCCTCCTTCTTTCCTTCCCTAGCAACAAGGAGTTACATTCCATTGACTGGGAAGCATAATAGGACTTTTCACACCACAGACTTTTTCCTTATTTTGTTTCTTAGGAAGCAGGGGAGACTCTTGTTTTGAGGAATTCTTTGGTTTCTTGGGCTCGGGTCCTCCCAGGGTAGGGAGGTTAATTACATGCTTTATGTTTTAGCTACAATCCATTCAAATTGTTCAAAATTAGGTGCTTGATCACCTGCTCTTCCTTTCAGAAGCAGCTGAGCTCATATCGGGGTTGGAGTGAGCTGGCTCACCGAGGTTGTACCCATCTTTGCAACTTATTTTGATACTTGATGAGCAGAGTCAGACCTGAGCATTGGGGAGGGAGGGGTAGCTTGAATGCTGCTACACTGGGACTGTGGGTGGAAGCGCGTTAACCTTTTGCACACATACTGTGGGTCTTGCTGGCTGAGCTTTGACACTGAGCTGCTGATTGTCAGGCTATTTTCAGTGAAGGTCGTTGGCCTGTGCCAGCAGTGCTCCTTTGATAAACTTTACGGCAGTGGCTTGAGGGGAGGAGGATGAGGATAGAAGGGGCATTGATGGTGATGGAAGGAGACTTGACCTGGGGCAGTGAACGCACAATACGGTGTACAGATGATGTCTTATAGAATTAATTGTGCACCTGAGACCTGTATAATGTTAATCTACGTCACCCCAATAAATTCAGTAAAAAGGAAAAAATAAATAAAAAGCGGTTGCCTTCAGCTAAAGAGTTGTCTATCGTTAGAATGGAATGTCTATCATCAGTCAATGGAATGTAACTCCTTGTTGCTATGGAAGGAAGGAAGGGAGGAAGGGTGGAAGGAAGGAAGGAAGGGAGGGAGGGAGGGAGGGAGGGAGGGAGGGAGGAAGGAAGGAAGGGAGGGAGGGAGGAAGGAAGGAAGGGAGGAAGGAAGGGAGGAAAGGAGGGAGGGAGGGAAGTTGAGTGAGGGCTGATGGTCGCCACCAGCACTGCCTGGCTTATTATTGAGCGCTAACTGTGTACCAGACACTGAAGTTACCAGCAGGTGATTTTTCAGAATCCGTTGACAATGAACTTCATTGAAAACACACCGGTTCTGTCCTCTTTCCTAGATTCTGATAGTTGGTGGTGGCGTTGCTGGGCTTGCCTCTGCAGGTGCAGCCAAGTCCATGGGGGCCATTGTTCGAGGGTTCGACACGAGGTGAGTGCCCCACTGGTGAGAGCTGTCCAGGTCACAGCCCTTGTTTCAGGTGGATGTTGTGCTGTCCGTAGAGTTTATGAATTTAAGTATCGATAGCATGTTGAAAGCTGCTCTATAAGCTCTTTAAATAGTTCCAGTTTTTTTTCAAAGTGAACTCAAAGTGAAAAAGTATTACTTAGTGGAAAAAAATGTAAGGACTGAGACTTGGTATAGCAGAAATAACTTAAAAAACAAAATAAAACAAAATACTTTATTTTATGAAAACTAACACCATACTCAGGTTTGTAAAAAAAATTTTTTTTAAACTTATTTATCTGAGAGAGAGAGAGAGAGAGAGAGAGAATCATTGATGTGTTCTTCCACTTATTTATGCATCCATTGGTTGATTCTTGTATGTGCCCTGACCAAGAATTGAACCTGCAACCTTGGTTTATTGAGATGATGCTCTATCCAGCTGAGCTGCCCTGCCTGGGCTGAGATTGTCATTTAATGGGAATGTGAACCATTAGCAGGCAGCTGCGGTGATTGTTGTCACCAGGGAAGTTTGGGACTCACCAGGGATGGGTGTTGTTGTGTTAAACACTGTCTATCACAGAGCTCAGACCCCTGTTGGCTCTGGGTTTCCAGCCAGTGTGCAATGCTTGGCCAGAATTTGTTTTTTTTTAAATAACAGAATATATTTTTACATAATTCGAATGTGTTAGCTTTTTACATTTGCCATTTATACCATTCACAGGTTGCTTTTTTCAAACACAATTTAATGAGGACTATGGGCAAAGATCACTTACTTAAAACATGCCTAAGTAAGAGAGTCGTTTATATGGAAAAAGTCCCTCTCAGTCAGCACATTTACAGATGAAAACCTCCACTTAACTGATTTGAATGAAGACAAATCTTAATGTAGGTCAGAACTCCCATCATCATTGATAATGGAGCCAATCGATTCCTAGAGATGGCAATAGTGACATTCCTTTTGTAAGTTGACTAAGAACTGGGGATTCTCTGTAGTTTTTTTTTTCCCTCTCTCAAAAAAATTCTTATCATGAAAGCATTAACTCCCATTGAAACAGTCCAATCAGAGACATCAAAAGGAAGTCTCCACTTTTGAATATACAGTTTTTCTTTTAACAAATGCCTGCGTGAATGATGACCTTGGTTCCGCATGAAGGGCCTAAAATAACCGCTGCTTTCCCTCCACGATCGCCAGGGCCGCGGCCTTGGAGCAGTTTAAGTCTCTCGGTGCCGAGCCCTTGGAGGTGGACTTGAAGGAGTCCGGCGAGGGCCAAGGCGGGTACGCGAAGGAGATGTCCAAGGAGTTCATCGAGGCCGAGATGAAGCTGTTCGCTCAGCAGTGCAAGGAGGTGGACATTCTCATCAGCACCGCCCTCATCCCAGGTGTGTGCAGCCCCGGCCCCGCAGCACTGTGCTAGGACCTCTTCGGACCAGGGTCAGTCATTGCTGCACGAGAGCCTTTCTTCAAGGGAAGGTCGACTTGCTTTGTAGAAAGTAAGAAAGCACAGGAGAGGCAGGAAAGACAAAACCGCCACAGCCCTAGAGAGCAGCGGGCATTAGTAATTTGGTTTATTTGCTTCCAGTCTTTTTTTTTTTTTTTTTTTCTGTGTATTTTTATCTGTGTTCATAGATCACAGTCTATTACAAGGTTGTATTTGTACATAAATTTCTCTGTTTATACCTTTGGTAAATTGGTTTTTAATTTATTTCTGTTCTTTTTGTTAAGATGCTGCCTTTTTATTATAGGAAATTCAAACGGAACTGAAAAATAGGGAGGGAAAGAAGTACAGATCGGAAGTTCCACTGGAGATGAGCCCATTTCTAGTATTCTGATGATCATTTTTTCATATGCAAGAGAGAAAGACAGAGGAGCTTTGGCTGTGTGTATATTTATGTAACTTCCAGTACATACATTTTTACTAAAGGATATGGCACTTTGTCACTTTTAATTACGTCCTTTGACATGTTTGGTCTTTGTAACCAAATTGTGTGCCCTTTGGATATCAGGAATTACTTTCTAGTAATTACATCCTCTTCTAAAGAATATTTTCCCCTCAACAGATGGTAGTGTCAAACTAATAAGCACTTATTACTCAATAAACACTCACTGGATCTAGCAAGATAAGGGAGCGAAGAAACTCTCCACCTTTTATATTCTCAGCTCTTGTCTTCTTTTATATACATAGAAACATCAGTGATGAGAGAATAATTCATTGGCTGCCTCCTGCAGGACCTCACCGGGCATCGAACCCACAACCTGGGCCTGTGTCCTTGACCGGGAATCGAACTGTGACCTCCTGGTTCATAGGTTGATGCTCAGCCACTGAGCCATGCCAGCTGGGCAGCTCTTCTCCTCTTATGTTCTTTCCATGTGTTATTGACTAAGAATACCGTGATGACTCTAATTTTTCTCTTTTCTGAAATCTCTTGGGGCTTATGGCTCCTTGTGTTAGTTCCTATTAATGGAACCTCGCTTTCTGTGGGGGACTGGGACATTACAAGTTTTGTCCTGAAGTCCTGGGAAAGGAGAAGTTCTCTTTTAACCCCCTTCCCCTTCCAACCCCTCCCACCCTCCCAATCTGCTGTGATAATCCCAAGGGCAAGACTTTGATCATATCCATGAACTTGTAAGACAATATGTGCCTCCTAGCTCTTCTTTCTATCCTGTGTGTCCAGCTGAGACCTGACAGGTGGGGTGGTCTCTCACCCCATCCCACCTGAGATGGCAGGATAAGCAGCCGGCAGGAGGTCCCTGTGGGCTCAGCACCTGAAGAGCCTGTGTGTGTAGAAATGAGGCCTGGAGGTGCGTGCAGAGCAGGCCAGCCCGGGGCCCAGGCCAGCAGGACAGGACTCGTGAACAAGCAGTGCGGGAGAGGCCCAGGATTTGTCCTTCTGTGGTAGTGGCGCCTGGCCTGGCTCGGCTGTTGCACAGGTGGCTTGGGGGAGGGGTGGATGGCCTTGCAGTGCCATCTGACCTTTGAAAGGCAGCTGCTGATTAGATGCGACAAGTGGCCAGTAGAGGGTGCTAGAACATTGGTTCAGGGAGTAACCGAGGCCCTGAAGCTAGATCTAGTCAAGCCAGACCTTCCTAAAGAACAGGATAGTTTGGACACAGTGTACTCAATTATTATTGACCATAAAGCTTGAAGTGAGTGATAGAGCTCAAGACTTCTTTTAAAAAACTATATTTTTATTGATTTCAGAGAGGGAGAGGGAGAGAGAGATAAAAATATTAATGAGAATCATTAATCAGTGCCTCCTGCATTCCCCTTCCCTTCCTCACCCCCTGCCCCGCTCCCTCCCCTGCCTTGCCCTCCCACTGAGGATTGAGCCCGCAACCCGGGCATGTGCCCTTGATCGGAATTGAACCTGGGACCCTTCAGTCTGCAGGCTTATACTCTATCCACTGAGAAGACTTCTCATATAAAACACATACTGACTTTTAGGGCCTACCCCCTACAATTTCTTATTTTTTTAATAAGTAGTTTATAGTAAGTGTACTTTATTAGAAAGTCAAATTGTATAACACGTTTTTTTTTTTTTTTTTTTAAGTCCTTACCTGAGGACATGTTTTTATTGATTTTTAGAGAGAGGGAGCAGGGGGAAGGAGAGAGAGAGAGAGAGAGAGAGATTGATTTATTGTGCCATTTATTTATGTGTTCATTGATTGCTTCTGGTATGTGCTCTGACTGGGGATTGAACCCACAGTATCAGGACTACACTCTCACCAATGGAGCCACCCCAGAATGACAGTCTGAAAGCAGACTGTTGAAGAAGTTTTATTATTCTGTTCCTCTTCTGAAGCTATGATCGTCTCAGCACATCAGGTGGACAGAGAGACCCGTGCATTGGTCCAGAGCTCACACTCGGAAAGCTGGCCTGAAAAGGACCTTTCTGTTACTTCTCTTCTTTTGAGAACCAAAAGAGAAAATTTAATTAGAATGTTATAAGGAGGAAGGTGATCTTTTTAACCATCTTTTATCTCCCTCGGGGACTGAGACCAGAAAACGTGAGCACTCGGAAAAAAGATGGAAAAGATCACGCGAAGGCCCAAAAGCCCTTCGGACAGCAGTGTCCTTGCCTGGATCTCTGCAGGTTTATGTCCTGAGCCTTTGCACGGGTCACCTGGTGGCATGTCCAGCTCTTGAAAGATCTTAGGGCAGAGTTATTCTAAGGCTTTTCTTGAGTTGGGTCCAGAGGAGATTAAGTTAAATGTCAGAAGTTCTCCGAGTTGAGATTCCTTAGACGGAGTCCCCGTGGCCGTGCTGGAGGCCCGGGTGGATGAGCGTGCTGAGAGGGACACGGCCAGCCAGCTTGTTACCACCTAACGGACTCGGGAACCTTTCCTTTCTCCCGGGTGCACGTCTGTCAGGGGGTCGGGGAAGGCAGTGACCTTGCACGCGTGTGGGATGTATGTGGGGTGAAATGTTTCTGGAGCCAGCTAATGACTGTGCGGCCTGGGATTTTGTACCACATACAAGTTCCATCACCTGGACCCCAGGAGTGGGATGGGCAATCGGGTGAAGGCTGGAATTTCACTTGATGTAGGTAACCTCAGGATAGGGCCTCGTGGGCTGTCCCAGGTCGTGGTGCTGTGCACACAGGACAGCTCCCAGCCTTCCTGTCCAGCTCTCGGACCTTCGAGACTACTTAGAAAGGAAGGCAGCCCCGCTCTGGGCATGCTCAGCTGCGCTCATAATCTTCCTGCTACAGAAAGGTCCTTTGGACACAGTGTATAGGATTATTATTGATCATAAAGCTTGAAGTGAGTGATAGAGCTCAAGACTTCTTTAAAAAAAATATTTTTATTGATTTCAGAGAGGAAGGGAGAGGAAGAGAGAGATAGAAACATCAATGAGAGAGAATCATGGATCAGCTGCCTCCTGCATACCCATCTCCTCCCGCACCTCTCACCCCCAGGATCGAGCCCGCAACCCAGGCATGTGCCCTTGACCGGAATTGAACCTTGGACCCTTCAGTCTGCAGGCTGATACTCTATCCACGAAGCCAAACTGGCTAGGGCCGAATGTATCCGGGCTTTGCCCTGCCCCTGGAAACCGGTTAGCGAGACTTAAATAGACTTGGAACATTTGACCAGGAAGAGGCTGAATCAGGCTGAAGGTCTGATCAGTGAGTTAAGGAGGGGGGAGAGGAGAGGGGGGAAGAGCCCGCGTGATGCTTTCGCACTGACCGTGTGCAGGCAGGTGCCACCTAAATGCCAGTGAGAAGGGAGCACTGTGGAGCACATGCCACGTCTCCCTGCCAGGAAGTCTTCTCCAGGCAAAGGCTTTCCTGACGGCCGCCTCATGGAAAACCAGGAGCTTTCTCGTGGTCCCTGCCCCACATCAGGTCTGACCCTCACTATGTGATGGAACTGGAACCATTGAAACGCCTGGGCTTTGTGTAATAATGATGGCTGTGCCTTAACGCACCAGGTTCCCGGCATCACTCGGTAAAGGCATCTGAAACGATCAGGATTGGGTCACGTCACCCCCACGCCCCCAGCCTTTGCTGCCACGCCTGTACTGCTGGGCAGGGTATTTCTGTAGCGCTCGGGCCTGATTTGGCTTTGGGGCCTGATTTGGCTTTGGGGCTCATGTTGAAGCAATGCAGTGCTCTGCGGGTCGGATTTCAGTCACGCTGGCCACGGTGATCTCCTCAAATAGACCAAGGACTCTCAGGCCTTGGCACACTGTTCCCTCTCTTTGCAGTGCATCTGGGCTCTGTCCTGCCCCTCGAAAGCCCGCTCATTAGTTAACACTTCCTCTGAGATTTGGTTTCTGCCGCCTTCCCAGGGTGGTAAGCCCTCCTTCGCCTTCATTCACAGCCTCAGCTCCCATGGCTCTCAGTTGCGCTGCGTCCTGTGCTCTCAGCGAGAGTGTTGGCTTTAGCCCGTGTGGTGTGGTGGCGAGTGCTTAGCACAGAGCCTGGCACACAATAGTGGCTCAGCAGGTGTTGCCCCCCTACGGATCCTGGTGCCTTCCATAGGTCTCGATTGGTACAATCCTTTATTTTTCCCGGGCTATCCAAGGAAAGAGGGAGAAAGCTCTGTTGGCTCCGTTTTGGGTAGGAACACTGCTGAGGGTAACGTTTTCATTTTCCTCCCACACATACCCAGGGTTTGCTGGGCTGTAGGGTAGTTCTGTGTTTAGTCTTTTTAGGAATCTGCATAATGCTTTCCACCGTGCCTGTACCAATTCGCAGGCCCACCAACGGTGCACCAAGGTTCCTGTTTCTCCACATCCTTGCCAACACTGGTTTGTTGATTTATTGATGACAGCCGTTCTGCAGGTGAAGTGAAATCCCATTGTGGTTTTGATTTGAATTTCCCGCGATGTAGAGCATTTTCTCATGTCTGCTGGCTGCCTGTGTCTTTGTGTTCT